GTCAATAGCATTGTAGGCCAGCCACCCAACAAAGTGTCTCACCAGTTCAAAATCCCAGGCTGAGCTCAATTTGCCATCCCATCCACGGTAAGCGGGGCTTGTGAATGGACGAAGCAGATTAATGGCCCATGCAAAGAGAGTGATGCCAAAACCGACCCACATTGCAACTGACCTTGTCCATGCCTCTTCAACGATTTGACGAGCTTCACCCCATGCTTGAACTGTACCAGGGACCGCAGCTGCCAGTAAGCTGAGTAAGGCATGATGACAGATAGTGAAGGCAAGGCGCCTGGGAGACAATGTYGCCATCAGTAATGARACCTGCARAATGTCATGGACAACTAGAGTAATGATATACCGGATAAGTTGGATAACCATGATCTCTCTGGGACATCACAAAAGCGCTGCTCCAGGATCACTCCATGTTTTATACAAGAAAGAAAGGCGGACGCAGCATGTTTTTGAAACCCTAAAGGCAAAAAAAACTTGCGTCAGCAGAGAAACCACGCGCCGACTCAAAATGAGAGATTTCGGTCCAAAAGTATCCATTGGGCATTTTCTTCTTTTTTTTGTTCCCCCCCATCTGACACCAAGGCTGACCCCTGTAAGTATGACACCCGCTGGTCTGACACCACGACCTTTGGTACTTCCGTTGCCTTTTCGAGCTTGGCGCAGTTTTCTTTGCCGACGCATGTTTTTTTTGCCCATTCGATGCTCAAAGGTGACATGAACGTACTTACCCCTCTATACAATTAGGCAGATGGCAGCAGGTAGCAACAATGGTCGTCAATGACGGCAGGATTTTGATTGTCGGGACTAGGATTGTGTTGTGATGTGATTCCCTCTTCAGATTTTGACACTTTGGAAGCTTAAGAATCTGTACTATGCGCCGTGCTTTCTTATTCGCAATAGAAGCAGCTCAGTGCAGGGGCAAGAAGCCTTGAAACACAAGATATTACATTCCTCGTCGCAGATAATGAAATACTGTGCAGGTATTTCATTATTTGCGATGAGGAAATTATGTATTTTGTGTTTCAAGATGGTGACCAATGGTGCAGAACTCCTGTGACTGATAAGACAAGTGCAATATCTCACATTCTATATAACTATGGGCCTCGTTAGACACTCCTTGTGGACCCGAAATCCACAAGGAAATGATCATTCCACCTGTCCTTGGGGACGATTCTCGAAAAAAAATGTGAAAACACCACAAGGAGATTTGTGGCRTCCTTGTGGCCACAGCCATTTTTTCGTTACCCCCAAGGGACCTCCCGAGGTCCCTCGGAGCACAAGGAAGCGCGAAATTCGGAGCGGCGAAGGCATGCGCCGACGCACACTTTTGGTCCAGCAAACAGGAGCACGGACATCCCTGCGTCGAAAATCTGCACGGCGCCCCAACGGCTCCAAACGGTAACCGTCGGCGTGAGGCCTCCGTCCATCTACGCGAATTACCGGCTGGCGTTCTGCGGTCTGCTGCGGCGGGCGATCGTCAACAACGGTCCGAAATTCGAATGCTTTTCCCACCCGGCGCCCCTTTCGACGAYGACAGTTTCATTGCAGAAGATCGTCGTTTTCTTCGTTTGTCATCAC